CGACGTCAAATCTGGGTATTTATTACGAGTGAACCACGTGGATTTATGTTTCTTTCACTTCAATAAACAAACTGCAGAGGGAAGCAGAACAACAATATAGTTTCAGCTGCAAATGCATTTCAGCACTGTATTCATTCTTTCCATCACCAGCTGCCAATGCTCCGGTTTCATTAAAGTCTTATCGCGCATTGCAACGTGGTGAACGCATTCCTCAGGATTTAATCTACTGACACATGAGGGTAGACGAACCCGGTATCCTATTTCACACAGCAATGTCCACAAAGAGACATTAAATATATTACCATTTTTACACAGGGTTGTTTGGCCAGGACAACGGGAAAAAATCGCCCACAAATATACGGTCAATTCACTTTACAGTCTATTCTGTGAAGCACTTTGAGATATCGAGAAGATGTGAAAGGCGCTACACCAAATGCAAGGATTATTATTATTATTATATAAATCCCTCCTGTTTTTCAGTAACGACATAGAATATTTTACACCCATCTGAACAGGCAAACAGGACCTCGGATAAACGTTTCACTCAAAGGATAGCACTCCCATTAGAGAATGTTCTTAAAATTCTCTTATCAATATTCAACCGATAATCATCTGACTCAGTGGCCACAGTGCTGAGCCGAGCTGACGCTTATTGCTCAATCTTGCATTTCACCTGGTGCCTTTATGTGATGAAAACGTTTTAAAACGCATTGCTGTTAAGTTAGTGACTGTGTTTGCAAGCGAGGGCGGCAGAGAAAATGCACAGTCGATTCAACAGTATCATTCAAAACAATATTTAGCGCACAGATTTTGATATTAGTTCGAAAGTAATCCCGAAATCCATAGATTAAAATTTACCTTCTATTCTGTAATCAGCCGAATGTAGTGGACTCAGGAGCATGTTACACGACAGTGCCTTGAGTGTACATGAGCTGGAGCTCTAACGTCAAGTTAACCCTATGGCATTTACAGCATCATTTTATTTACAACTATATAATTCCACCTCTCCGAGCTACAAATGGTTTGTGTTATTCACATTTGTCTGTCTGAAAGATGCTTTTTACAATTGATTTGAAGATTAAAAGGAAACTTATTATCATACTGTTACGAAATGAAACAACTTGTGCCCATCACTAGGAATGGATGGAAGATCGGCCACCGATGTTGGAAAGGAAGGGAGAGAACCCAACAGGAGGCCAGAGCCAGTGGAGTGGAGGCTGTGGGTACCGGAGTGGAGAGTAAACAGATTGGAGAGGTAGTGAGGGACAGTCAGGAAATGAGTGGTTATGTAAACCAGTGAGAGGATCTTGAAGTTGATCCGTCCTGTGATAAGGAGCCAGTGTGGCCTGGCAAGGCTTGGGGGGAGGGCGATTCACAGTTTAAAAGTCTGCATTAATTTTGAATGATAGTCTTTTGAATGATACTATTTAGACATCAGAACCTGATAAGTCACTGTGTACAGTTGCTGTCACCCCACCATAGGGGCTGCCCTAGAGACAGTCCAGAGAAGGAAGGAGAGAGAAGCAACAAGAATCATCCCAAGGGTTAGAGGAACGATCTATCAACAGGAATGGACAAGCTGTGCTCTCCAGATTTGTGAGAAGGCGACTCATTCGGGTCTCTCGGGGTCTCACTAATATAATACCTTTCACATAAGGCGATAGTCTGAAAGCATTTTATAAAACCAGAGTTGGAGCCCAACTGCGCCACAGGGACAGGAAGTCAACATCACTCTCACACATCTCATCTCAACTGACTGCAACCCCTTGTAACAGATCAGTGACCGCTTTAGGGTTTGTCTCAGTCAGAGATCAGAATGTTGGCGAGTGTTGTGTTTCAGTGTCTGTCTCTCATGTGGATCATTCCTAAAGGTTTGTCCTTATTCAATGTCACAGTTTGCTGAAAAAGGACAAGGATAAAGTTCTTATTCTAGTTTTATCCATTTATAGAGTAAATCTCATCTCTAACTTACTCTGTGTTTATCTCTTTGTCGCAGTACTTTTGTTTCAAAACAATGTTTGAATTTATTTCTGACAGTTGCTGACGGGACATCGATCCAAGTAACTCAACATCCCGAACACATCGCTATAAACACTGGTGAAAATGTGAAGTTCTCCTGTAACTTCCCCGACACCAAGATTATAAAAACAAACTGGTGGAAGCAGGGAGAGAGTGAATACCTGAAAATTGATCACAAGAAACAATTTGATCAGAAAAGTGCAAGAAAGACTTCTCTCGAGCTCCTGGATGTGCGCCACCAGGATTCTGGAATCTATTACTGTGCAGCGATGACTGCGGGATATACAACAGTAAATGGAAGTGGATCACATTTAACGGTATATGGTAAGTATTGTTATAAGACTGAGAACTTAACTGTTATATATAATTGATCCATCATTTACATTCATGTAAATTAATTTAATCATTTTGGGGGGAGAATCTTAAAGCGCTTTACAAAGGCTGAGGGGCTGCCGGAGCTGAGACCGAGGTGGGAGGGGAGAGTGGCCACAAGGACAGTCAAACTGGTGTGTCTTCAGGTGGGATTTGCGAGGAGAGAGGGAAGGGCGAGAAGGATGGATTTCGGGAAGGAATTCTAAAACTTCGGGTCAACACAGCTGAACGTTCCCTCCACATGAACGTTTCCTAATCAGACACCCAACCGATCAAACTCTTTATTATAATTTACCATCTAAAATATACTTGTTCTTTTTATTCCCCCCACGCCAAGCTGTACCGTATAGCCTCATAGTCGTATGCATTACACCTCAGGTGCCATTTCTCTGCCCAGTCAACTAATCTGTCTCTATCGCCCTGAAGTGGCTTACAATCTTCTAATGACTAAATGACTGAAAGTTCTTCATTGTTAGTTACTCCGTATTTTGTGAATCATGTAAACTTGGACATTGTTCCTCTTATATTACAATCCAGACCATATATAAATGTCGAATTACCATAGGTTAGTGGGAGCTGACTTGAAAAATTACACTAAAATTTGATGATGGGTTTCATCATTCACTTCATTGCTATTGGGACGTCCTCCCGATGTGAAAAGCGCTATATCAAATGCAAGGATTATTATTATTATTATCGTGAGATATTTCTGTACACAGAATGGACAGCCACGCACGAAAGTAAATATAAGCAATACTCTTCATAATAAATCCTGTGAAGCGACTTGAGACTTGAAAAGGCGTTACATAAAAGATTTTTATTGCAGTGCCTCCAATTCCTCTAAAAATTTCGTACAAAGAACGTCGAGGAGATTCATCTGTGTTTCTGACTCTCGTGTGTGAAACGGCCGCGTTTTACCCGAAAAATCTCACCTTCACATGGTCTAAAAACGGCACAGAAATTACAACTGGGATACATACCACTGAACGACAGAACACTGAGGGACTGTTTGAAGCTTCCAGCTCTGTGGAGGAGACACAGTCTGTCCAGAATGGGACAGTTTATACCTGTCGGGTGTCTCACATCAGCCTCCAGACTCCAGGAATTCGCAACTACACCATCTACAAGGTTTACCTTCCTGACAAAGGTAGGAATACAACAGTCTCAATGTCAATTAGCGTTAATTGTCTTTCACAAGAATATTTCCTTCTTTTAAATCACACCGCGAACCATAGCCATAAAATTTGCTTCATGTAAAATATAAACCACTTTCACCTTTTAATGCATAACATTTGAATTGTTATGAATGCAAAATATCACTTGCCCTTGACAATATTAACCAGTCAGGTTTAAAACCTCTAATTTACAGTATATTGTAACCAAGAATGCGAGTATGAAACGTGAATTTCCACTCAATTTCTTAATTATTAGTAGATATTATGTTCCCTCTGTTTCCCCTCAGACCTGTCTTGAATAGCGCCATTTTATTAAATAACTTTAGTAAAATGATCTGCTCTCAGGCTTTTTACAGTGATGCTTTTGTTCAAACTCAGTTCCCTGATCCCTGTGGAGCGGCAGTGAGACAGGAAGATATCTGTGCCGATGATGGTGCTCAGGAAACCTTGTTTCACCTTATAATGGCGCAGCACATTGGAGCGTTTTGACCCGCGATTACAGTTTGGCTGCACTTGGGAACTTTTAATAGATGTCTCTATCTACAGCTGTCTCCCTACAAAATAACTAACATACCTGCCCCCGATCTCCTTACTGATAATAAATATATTCACCCACAAAATATTGAGTCAAAAAACACTTTGCAATACAAGTTTCTTCGAAGCACTTTGAGACACCTGCATGATGTAACAAGGCACTATATCAAATGCAAGCATTACAATTTATTATTATTCCCAAGAGGTTTCATTGTCCACAGTTTCTCTCCACAAAATAATTAACTTGCTCTCCCATCTCCCTTACTGTTCAGTAAAAATGATTGAATACTTTATTTTAAAGGGATTAAGGGATATGGGGATAAGGCAGGGTTATGGTATTAGCAGGACTTAGATTAGAAGATCAGCCATGATTTATTGCCAGGGCAGGCTCGAAGGGCCGAATGGTCTACTCCTGCTCCTTTATGTAATGTTAAACAGATAAAACATAATCCGATGGCGAAGCAGGGGACAAGTCACATGAAACATTCCGGTTTTCATTTGTTAGACATTGTTCTTAAATGGAAAAATATAACATTGTATTTTGTCCTAAAACGCTTTTTTTCTAGAGAATTGTGTCATTACTGAAACGGTAAACCATCGGATCACAAAGTGCAGTTTCACCTCTCATCTCCCGGTGTCCAGGCCAACAATCCCCCAAATCAACTTGTTGGCTGATTCTATGATTGTAAGGCATTATTGTGCAGAAATTGGCTGCCACGTTTCGGCAAAAAATACACAATCTCAACATTTGACAGTATATCATGTGAAGTGCTTTGAGGTGCCTTGACAATGTGAAAATATGTTGTGTAAAATGCAAGGATTATTACATCATTATTATGATCTTATATTGTTTTTATGGAAGAAAAGGATCGGCACCTATATCCATTACTGATCGCTGGATGTGCAGTGGGGGTGGCTGTTTTGGTGCTTTTGGTATACTTTGGGAATCGATCCAAATTAATGAAAATGAAAGGTAAGAATTTTGTTCTGGTTAATTATGAATGCTTGATTTTGGTACATGTAGTTGTGAAAGTGCTAATAGTCCTTTGGTAACGCAGAGAGACTGTTTCTCAAAGAAAAATCGACCTGAAAGTTTGGGGATCCAATTGTTTTTCACTCTTTTCATTCTCCATTGGAGATTCAATAAAAATTTCAGTTATTATATTTCATTAATTTTAGGGGTACACAGGAAACAGAATGATTTGGACCATCAGAGCCAACAGGTAATATCCATCCCAGGCAGTGTTTCATACCTAACATTAACATTGATTGATAACATTGAAAAGGATTGTGTTGTTTATAATTATTTGAGGATATTTTCAAAATGTTTCTTACCTGATTGCCCGCTTCACTATGTCATTGAAATTGTATTCACACATGTAACTCAGGTAACATAATATACAAGCCAACCAGTCTTGAGAAAACATTCCTTTACATTAAGGTAAAAGTTGAGAGTTGCAGTTTGTGATTTACAGGAAGTGCATGGAGGAGATGCTGAGAGGGTCACTTATATCACACTGGATTTGAAAAGTTCCAATAAACTTTCAAGACCGAAACATCAGGAAGACAGGACAGTGTACGCCAAGGTACAGCTGAAAAGCATTGCATCAACGCATACACAATCAAATTATTCTAAATGTAATACATTGTGCCTCATGTGCTCCATTTTGGGCTCGAGGGTATATAGAAATAAACTATTTCCATTGTTTAAAGGCATCAGCAAATAGAGGACATGTATAAGATTGACATAAGGAGCAAAAGGAAAGTTTAGCAGATTTTTTCATACGATGTGCGGGTTTGGTAAGGTGGTAGAAGCAGATTTGTGTGTTTCAAGACAGAATTAGATAGGTACATGATATATATGCTTAACTAGGTATCTAGTCCGATTATGCAATTTTCGCATAAAGACCGAATGAAACTAAATTCTAATTCCTTGGCTTTTATAGATCAAGCAAAAAGCAGAAAATAACAAGCAGGTATATGCTTCTTTGGAGTTTTCTGGCCCAGAGAAAGGAGGAAAACCGAAGAGAAGCAAACCAAATACAGTGTATGCTACAGTGCAGGTGAGAAACTGTGAAGGGCAATAGAGGCCATTTACAGTGAACCAAAAACAATGATGAATTGCATTAATAGGTTCAGGACCTAACCCTAACCCACACTCAGCCGAACTGCTTTCCAATTGGGTAATTAGCTATGGCCACCTGGATGATTTCCACCCGGTCTCTGCATGCGCGTTTTGGCTGCCGCCCCACCCTGAGTCTCCCGCTCCACTCTAAATATCTCTCCTCCCACCCCACTCTATGTCTCTCCTCCCACCCCCCTCTGTGTCTCTCCTCCTAACCCCGTCTAGCCGCTACTCCCCCTCTGTCCTTCTCTCCCACTGCACTCCCCGCCTTCTCTCTCTCCTTGATCCCATCACCACCTCCCTCTGCTCCAGCCTGGGCCTCCTCTGCTGGGCACATCATGGCTCCAGGCACTGGCTATCCCAGAGCAGCCACCCCAAGTGACCAATCATTCACTCCCTCCACACAAACCGCTTCCTTAAGGCAAACCCAACTTCGCCCTCCCTCATACGCACCCTCCCCAACTCTCCACTCACACCACTCTCCACAATCATCTCTCCTGTACACCCAAAATCCTCTCTGCATCACTCTCTGCTCCCTCCCCTCCTTCCAGCATCTCCAAACCCACCCGATACCCCTCGTACAACAATCATCACCACCGCCTAAAAACCCAAACCCGGCTGCTCGAGCGCAGATGGTGGAAAACTGGCCTGACAGTTTACCGCCAATTGTGGCTCGGGCATCTCCACAGCTGCCGCTGTTCTTTGACACGCGCAAAAACAGCCTTCTACTCCAACATCATCTTGGAGGCTAAACACAAACCTAAAATCCTTTTTTCCAGCACCCACTAACTCCTGCGTGCCCCTCCTCAGAAGTCCTCAATCTTCATATCAAATGCCAAGTGTGACGGAGTCATGGATTTCTTTTCATCTAAAATACATAACATCCGCCAGGCAGCCTCATCGACCTGCCTCTTGTCACCCATCACCATGCCCTCTCTGTTCCCCTCACCCTCCCCATCATCTGCTCCTACCACCATCCCCATCCTGTAGCTCATCCCCATCCTGTGGAGTCCTGTAGCTCAGTGGTTACAGCACTCGCTTTACAAGCGAGAAACCTGAGTTCAATTCCAGGCACAGGGCGAAACCTTGGGCCAGTTTCCTTACTCCACACACCTAATAATAATCCCTCCAAAACCAAAAACAATGATAAAATTGATCATTTTCAATCTACGACTGTTTGTGGGACATCGCTGTGCGCAATTGGCTGCCGCGTTTGCCCACAAATATACAGTCAATTCACTTTACAATGTGCTCTGTGAAGCGCTTTGGGACGTCCTCCCAACGTGAAAAGCGCTATATCAAATGCAGGGATTATTATTATTATTATCCTACATTCCTCCTCCCCATCTCACCCTCCTCCTTCTTACCCACCATCACCTCCACGAAACCCACCACCTGCTGCCTCGAACCCCTTCCCATCACCTTGCTGGTCACCCAGCTCCCCTCCTCTGTCCACTACTGGCTGACGTCATCAACCAGTCCCACTCCTCCGGATCAGTCCCTGACCCCCTCAAAACTGCTGTCATCAACCCCCCACCTCAAAAATACTTCCCTAGATCCCTCAAAGCCCAACCACTGCCGCCCTATTTCTAACCTGCCCTTCCTCGCAAAAGTCCTGGAACGCGTTGTTATCAATCAATTTTGTGCACACCTCCTCCCACTCCCTCTTCGAACCGCTCCAGTCCGGTTTCTGCCCACAGTACAGACACTGCACTTGTGAAAGTCACAAACGACATCCTCTATCTGTGACCGGGGCTCCCTCTGCCTTCTTGTCCTCCTAGACCTCTCCGCCATGTTCGACACAATTGATCACGCCATCCTCCTCCACCGCCTTTCCACCGTCATCCACCTCACTGGGACCGCACTCGCCTGGTTCAAGTCCTACCTCACAAACCGCCAGCAGTACATCTCCACAAATGGCTTCTCCTCCCGCTCTCACCCAGTTACCTGCGGGGCCCCCCAGGATCCATCCTTGGCCCCTCCTCTTTCTGACTTATATGCTCCCTCTTGGGGATGTCATCCGCAGAAATGGGGTACATTTCCACATGTATGCGGATGACACCCAGCTCTATTTTTCCACCTCTCATTGCGACCCCCAGTCCCCTGATGTTCTGTCAGCTGCCCGTCAGACCTCAGGGGCTGAATGAGCGCAAATTTCCTTCAGCTGAACATTGACAAGACAGAAGCCATACTCTTTGGCTCTCATCAATGTCTAAAATCTCATGATTCTCACCTCCTCCACCTACCCAACCTCCCCATAAAATTCTCTGAACGCATACGCAACCTAACGATCAGGTTCGACCCCCAATTATCCTTCCTCCCCCACATCCAATCCCTCACCACCACTGCTTTCTTCCACCTCCGACGCATTGCCCGTCTCCACCAATACCTCTCTCCAAAAGCCACTGAAACCCTGGTCAATGCCTTTGTTACCTGTCAGCTGGAGTATTCAAATGTCCTCCTCACTTGCCTCCCCTCCACTATCATCCATAAAATTCAGGTTATTCAAAACTCTGCCGCCTGCATTCTCACCCACACCAAACTCCGCTCCCCAATTACCCCAGTCCTCACCAGACTGCACTGGCTCCCTGTCCCAGAGAGGATCGATTTCAAGATCCTCAGCCTTGTCTTGAAAACCCCCTGCCTCTCTGACCTCCTCCCTCCTCAAAACAATGCCTGTTGCCTTCGTTCCTCCAGGTCTGGCCTCCTCCTTGTCCCCCAAGTCCTCTGCTCTACCCTCGGCAGCAGTGCCTTCAGCCACTATGCACCGAAGCTCTAGAACTCCCTTCCTCACTCCCTTCACCTTGTCCCCTCTCTTCCTATTTTCTTTGATGAAGATCTTTCTTTTTGACCGAGTCTTTGGTCACCTTCCTCCCGCTCTTCCTGGCTTGGCCTCGGGATCCATTACTGTGAAGCTCTGAGACGCCATCTGGCGTGGAGTGCACTATATGAATCTAAGTTGTTATTGTTGTTGTTGTTGATCTTTTGATATAGCTAGAAAATTATAGAATCATAGAGCTATACAGCACATAAGGAGGCCATTCAGGCCATTGTGTCTGTCCTGACTCTTTGAAAAGTGCTGTCCAAATCAATCCTATTCCCCTGCTCTCTGCCCTAACTCTGCAAACTTGTCCTTCCCAGATAATTTTTGACTTCTCTCTTAAGAGTTGTTAGAGGCTTCCACACCTTTTCAGGCAATGCATTCCAGATCCAAACAACTCGCTGTGTGAAAAAAATTCTCCTCGCTTCCTCTCTTTTTTTTAACAACTATTTTAAATTGGTGTCCTCAGGATATTGACCCACGCACCACTGGAAATAGTTTCTCCTTGTTCACTCTATCGAGTGCCCTCAAACTTTTGAAAGCTTAAAACTGTCAGTAGTTTATCAAAGTTGCACAAAAGGATAAGCTAACTATGTTCTGAAAAATTGGCTTTACAGGGCAAGCAAGGAGTAGCTGCTAACAAGCTGACATACGCTGCTTTAGAATTTTCTGGCTCCAAGAAACCAGGAAAACCTAAACACAGCGACAAGAATACAGAGTATGCCAAGATACGGGTGAGAAAATAGAAAGGAGCAATGGAGGCCACCTCGATGGAACAGGATCCACATAATAATAATAATAATAATAATAATGTTGCATTTGATATAGTGCTTCCCAAAGGACGTCCCAAATCGCTTCACAGAACACACTGTAAAGTGAATTGACTGTATATTTGTGGGCAAAAACGGCAGCCAATCACGCACAGCAAGGTTTCACAAACAGTCGTGGATTGAAGTGACCATTTTTTTTTCTGGAGGGATGATTATCAGGCGTGTGGACTAACAAAACTTGCCCAAGATTTCCTGCTGGAAATTGAACCCTGGCCTCTCGCTTGCAAGGCCTCTCGCTTGCAAGGCCAGTGCTCTAACCACCGAGCAACAGGACTCCGAATGTTACAATGATAGGTACAGAAGCTTAGTAGAGTACAGTACAGTATTAGTAATTCGATATAATTTGCAGTAATGCCTTACATTGCTAGTCTATAGCATCTGTCAAACACAACTATAGTTATTTGTGTCTTTAATCATTTCAGGCAGTTTCTTGTAGAAAAGTAGTCCTGGTTACATTTATTGCTGGACTTAAGTACTGATCAATGACATTTTATATTTATCTATTAAATCTAACTGGTGAATTCTTTAATTCAGAAAGTGAACATTAAACAAGCCTCAAAAGCACAAACAATACTCAGTTTAAATATGTTTGGCATCATACTGTATTGTGTTTTATCACCTCTTTCAAAGTCATGCCTTATCATGTTCAATGAACATTTTCAATGAAGAACAATTCTGAAGCATAAATCATGTAATTTCTCCTTTAATTGGATTGTTTTTTCCATTTTCATGAAGTAATATGTGGTGTGGCTTGCAACCTGGTTAACAAAATATCAAAATAGCTCAAAATAGCTTAACTGATCTTCCAGCCGTGAAAAGTTTGATGTGTGGGTGTTCTACCCGTGAAGTATTGCTAAATGTACCTGACAGGAAGTAATTGGGCTCTCACTCATGTTGTTTTTGTGATAACTGTTCGATGATACTGACACTAAATTATTCTGTTGCAAGTGTCTTCAATTCTCAGGCTAAATACAGAGTGCGGTTTTATGAACTTTTCTTTACCATTTCTGCATTATTCAGCAGTGTCTAGGCAGTTGCAGCTAATAGGCCTAAATTCTACCTATTGTCAGTCTTTAAGACTAATATATTTTTACAATTTAAGATTAATATATATTACAATGTGTAGACATTGCAACAGTTATAATCAGTTTTAATTTGAATGTCATTCCTTGTTAAGAATT